CCTTGCATTAATGGTAAATGGAGAAATTAAGTAGATATTTATTGTAAAGTCATGATTTTTTTTCCCTTGAGAAAGTTCTATGTTATGTAGTAACTCAGCAGCGGGATCAATATCAGTTCCCTACAACTATACTCAACGCTTTTTGCTATATTGCTAATTCTTGCTCTGACCAAATACCACATTATGAGTTGCAAATGGTGATTTTTTTCAATTCTGCTAGTCTTTTTGCTTCATTAGCTAACGTTCTTCTTCGTACAGTTCCTCGTCATTCTGGGAACATTTGAATACGCTAACTAGGTCCATTAGAAAAGGAAGAATTAATACTTAACACTTTTAACAATTTTTAAGTAAGAAATGGGTCTTACAATAGGGACTCTACCTATCCAATGGTAGGGTAGAAGATTTTTAGTAGAGATGGGGTCTCGCTCTTGCTCAGGCTGGTTTTGAACTCCTGACCTCAAGTGATCTTCCCACCTCAGCCTCCCAGTGTGCTAGGGTTACAGGTGTGAGCCACCGCGCCCGGCCGTTATTTTGCTTTGATACAGCAGTCCAGAGTGAGTGGTCCAGGTTGGGAGGGCAGCTCTGTGGTCCAGTTTTCTTCCCTTCCTTTGCTCTGCCATTCCCTAAGTGTTAAAGCTGTGTGGTTGAAGCGAGGTCCCAGGCAAGTCTGTGTTCTAGCTTGCACGGAGGGAAAACAAGACGTCTAGGACAAAGACTGCTTTTTTAAGCAAGGGAGGTGGAATTCTGCTCACAAGGCCACCCCTAGTTGCAAGGGAGGTTGGAAGCTGCAGTCTTTGGGTGGGCAGCTATACCTCTGGCCTAAACACTGTTTCTTTGGAATAAGACGACGTCCTTTGATTCAATAATTCAATTTCTGATAATCCATCCTAATGAAATCAATGAATCACAGAAAACGAGTGTTCATTACTTAATGAACAGTGACTCAGCCAAGGAGAGTAATGTTCAGTATGTTACTTACTAGGCTACTAAGCTCCTTGGGAAACAGCTAAGCAGTATAATTGAAGGGTTTTGAGGTCTCTATGAGGAATTCAATGAGATGGGAAACCATTGGAGGATTTTAAGTAAAAGAGAGATTCAGTGTGATTAAGAAGAACATTCTGCTTGCTGTACGGAAAACAAGTGGAGGCAGTTGCCATATAGTCCCGCAGACAAAGGATGATGGTAGCCTGAACCAGGGTGTTAGCAGTAGCAGTGATAGTCTTTTCAATGGTAAACTTTCGTTAACTGTATAGATTTTGGAAGGAGCATATTGTCTGTGAGGCCAAATTTCCCACTTAGCTCATAGAGTATGAAATAGTGACAAAATACCACTCTGTGTGGGTATTGGGACGGATACTTAAAAAGTGCTGTTTTTAAATTGCCAAAGTTAATTTTAGTTATAAAGGTCAGCAAAATCCTAAGAAATTCAAAGCAAAAAGATATTTCTTAAGTAGAAAAATATATCATTTTAATTTTCCTTATCCTAGTTTAATAATTAGCTCTTTCCCCTGCAGAATAATCACAAAATACACAAATCTTTGGTTTTCATTATTTTGTATTTGTTCCTTACATTTAATGTGGACTATACTATTTTTTTTCTTTTTTTAGTATTATTAATTTTTTATTAATTTATCTTTATTTATTTTCTTTTTTCTTTTCTCCCTTCGATGGAGATTATCTTGAAAATACTATTTTTTATATGCTTTATTAAAGCTATATCATAATAGTATTTATATAGCACCTATGTTATGGAAATAATTCACGTAAAATAATCTATATAGATTTAACTAATAATAAATATTTTTATTTTATATAAAATATTTAAGGCATTGATTGTTTTGTACTGCGTGTTGTATAGTGATAGTTCCCCAGAGAGATAACATAGATTAGTGCGGGGCGTGCACACTCTTCAATCCATAGCACTCTGGAGCCTGAGGCGCGGCGGATTCTCCGGATCGACGTCGACCGAGCGGGCCGAGCGAGTCTGAACCAAAGCCTCCGGAGCGAGAGGCAAGAACCCAATCCTTTATATCACAACTACGCAAAGATAAATGGCCAACCTAATTATCATACGTCACGATGTAAACAAAGAGCGGGCATGCTCGTGGGCATGCCGTGTAGTCCAACTACTCGGGAAGACGAGGGCGAAAGGATTGCGTTTGACCCAGGATTGAGGTTGCTGTGACGCAGCTAAGGACGGACTGCACTCTAGCCTCGGCAAGCCAAAGTGAGAACTATGCTCAAGAAAAAAAAAAAAAGAAAAAAAAAAAAGAAGGTATCTAGGACGTTGTGACTGGGAATTTTCTTTTTTTTTTTTTTTTTGAACAGAGTCCGATTGGTTGACCAGGCTTAGAGTTACTGCCGTGCGCAGCCTAGCTCACAGGCACAACCCAAACTCCTGGCTCCAAGCAATCCTGCTGCCTCAGCGCCTCCGATTACCGCGGCTGCACAGCATGCGCCACATGCCGCGGCAATTTATATACTATGATATGTCGAGTTGCCATTAAATCTCTTTCTATTCTAAGTAGAGACGGGTAGTGCCTTGCCAGGTGGTTCGAACTCCTGACTTTGGCCATCGCCGCCTCGGCTCACCAGAGTGCTAGGATTACAGGCGTCGACCACCAGCGCCCGCTTGACTGTGAATATGATGAGATTCCATGCCAAGAAATTCTCCAATTCTCTGCAGACCCCAACTTAGTGTCCTACAATGTAATTCAATCCCAACACTAAGTAACTACCCAGATTAAAGCAGACCCTACAGATTGAGGGCTCAGTCCCACAAGGCTGCCCCAGACTTCACATGCCAATGGCAAGGAGTGGTTGGTCCTCAGGTCACCCACACTTCTGTGCAACTTGGCTACAAATTGGGGGTTCCCATGACCCCCTCCTTAGGTTTGACAATTTGCTATAACAGCTCATAGAACTCAGGGGACCACTTCACTTGCTATGACTGATTTTTATAGAGAATAAAGGACACAAATGAACAGCCAGATGAGGAGGCATACAAGGGGAGGTCTGGAAGGGTCTGGAGGACAGGAGCTTTTGTCCCCATGGAGCTGGGATGCACCACCCTCCCAGCACGTGGGTACATTCACCAACTCGGAAGCTCTCCAAACCCCATTGTTTAGGGGTTTTATGGGGATTCCATTACCTCGGCACAATTAATTAAATCATTGGCTACTGATGAGTCACTCAATCTTCAGCCCCTCTCCCTTCTGTGGAGGTGGGGTGGATCTGAAAGTTCCAACCCTGTGATCACAAGGTTGATTTCTCTGGCAACTAGCTCCCATCATGAAACTACCAGGCAGGCCCCTACCCTCAACCGGGAGTCAGCTTCTTTGCATAAACTCAGGTACGGTGAAAAGGGGCTTATCATGAATAACAGAATATGCTCGTCTCACCTCATCAGTCAGGAAATTACAAGGGTTTTAGGAGCTCTGTGCCAGAAACCGGGGTTAAAGATCAAATATATATATTTCTTATTATATTACAATATCACAGAGTCAATTCATTTATTCTATGTGTTGACCACCCATATGTTTAAGTCACTGAAAATGGTACCGAAGTGCATGATATTTAATGGATTCATAAGCTGGTTAGTGATATTCTGTTTCCACACAAATATCTGAAATATAGTTGACAAATCAAATGCATAGGAAGTAATTCAGTTAAAGTAAAAAAAAAAAAAGTGAATTTTCCTCTCTGCTAGAGAAAAAATATATTTTTGATCACTGCGGTCTAACTTGGCTATGATTGTGCTTCATAAAGCCTTAATGATTTTGGTTATTCCTACATTAAAGGTTGCATTTATTACCATTTGTCATAATTAAGTTAAGATACAACATGGTTTTGTTACCGGTCTTCAGATTCAGTATTAGACACAGAAAGGCCCATCGCGGTGGCTCACGCCTGTAATCCTAGCACTCTGGGAGGCCGAGGCGGGCAGATTGCTCGAGGTCAGGAGTTCGAAACCAGCATGAGCAAGAGCGAGAACCGTCTCTACTATAAATAGAAAGAAATTAATTGGCCAACTAATATATATATATATAATTAGCCAGGCATGGTGGTGCATGCCTGTAGTCCCTGCTACTTGGGAGGCTGAGGCAGGAGGATCGCTTGAGCCCAGGAGTTTGAGGTTGCTGTGAGCTAGGCTGACACTATGGCACTCACTCTGGGCAACAAAGCGAGACTCTGTCTCAAAAAAAAAAAAAAATAGATACAGAATATTGTATAAGGACCCCTGATAAGGCTATTATTCCTTGTCTTATCACAGAAATAGAATTAGAAGCCTTTTTACAAATATTCAATCCCCTCCCTCATTCTGATAGTCCCCTCCTTTGTCCAACTGCATAGTGGGCGGTCAATGAATGGCTACTGAATGAGTGAATGAATGAATGAATGCAAAGATGGTTCTGACTTCCTGCCTGTCGAGGTCTGTTAGTCTGTTTCCGTCGGGCTGTGCCTGAGTCCCTCACCACGGGATTACTGTGTATATTCACACGAGCCTAGTGTCACCTCCCTGACGTCTTCCGTGAACCGAACTCGGCGGTGACAAGCTCAAAGAATAAACCATATGAAACCCACCAATATTTTGCGACTCAAACTTATATATAAAAGGTGATCTCCTGAAAGGTGGTGTGTGTTGTGTGTGTGTGTGATCTGCAGATGACACCACTCCCGGGCCCTGGCATCTGGACAGCGGCTCCTCTCAGTTTCCCCAAGCTGGGCGTGGGACTCCGGTGACTTCCGTGTGTCCGATCCATTTAGGCTGCAGACAAATCCAAGTGCTTTCTTGCTTTTTTTTGTTCTGTTTTTAATTTTTTCCTTCTGTTTTTAACCAGGCGAAAAGCGACTATTGTTTTTGTGGGGACGCGCCGCCTGCCCGCCTGCCACGCGCGGGCGGCGGCGCTGTCGCGAGCGAGGCGGGCGGCGGCGGCGCTGTGGCGGCGGCGCGGGTCATGTGGTGCCGGGCGCGCGGGGACTGGCCCGCTGGAGGCACATGGCCGCGGTCGGGCTGAGCCGGGAGCGCCGTCCCGCCTGCCGCCTCCCAGACCTCAGCGGCCGCGAGCGGGGCTGTCGCCCGCCTGTCGCCTGCCCGCGCGGCCTCGGCGGGAGGAGCGGCCGCGCCAGTGAGTGCCGGGCGGGCGGGCGGGTGTCGCGTCGCCGCGCGGGGCGCCTTTGTGAGGACGCCGCCCCGCGAGCCGCCCGGGAGCCGCGGCAGCGCCGCGTGGGCGCGGGTCCAGCCCCGGCCCGCTGCTCCCCGCGACGCGCCCTTCTGCCCGAGCCTCTGGTCCTGCGATCGCGGGGCGGGTGTGTCAGACCTGGGTCGAGGAACTGCTTTGGGACTCCGAGTGGACTCGGTGTCGGCCTCTGTGCGGTCGGCAGGGAGGGGACGCAGGGTGGTGGCCGTCTCGGCTCAGGGTCGCCGCTGTGCAGAGACGGGGCTGCGTGCCTGCCGGAGGGGCACCTGGTGGCCGCCGCCCTTCCCTGCGGCGGGCGGGCGGGCGCACCGGCGGGGAGACGCGGCTCGCGCGCGGGCGGCAGCGCTGTCGCCGCAGGGCCCTTCTGACGGTCACAATTCCCCTTAGGTAGTGTCAGCTGGCAGAACAGGTGCTGGCGGCGGAAGGGTGATGGAGTCCTCCGCCCTCTCCCCGGCGAGTGAATTGTCCTTTCCTGCTTCCGAAGCCCGATTAGAGAGGGGCGAGAAGTCTGAGAGACACGGATTTATAAGCACTGTTTTGTTGTTTGTTTTATTTTTTGCTGGTAGCAAGCACCGCATTCCCATACTCGCGTAGCGGGAGTGATTCTCACCTCTGCCGAGAATTTTAGGTGTGGCCTTTTTGCAGAGCAAGGGACTCAATCCAATAACATCTTCCTGTTCCTTCGGGGCGCACAACGCTGCATTGGTTTTAGAGACTGCAGATAAACGTGTGTGGTTGGAAGGAGAAAGAAAGGGGGATTTATAAGAACGGATTGTTTATTTGCCCTGGCATTTTGCTGTGAACACCTGATGGAGTTTAAGTCAAGGTGTTTGGTGTCCTTTTGAAAGACAACAGGCAACGAATCGGGCTGTGTCTTTAAGCATGGGGAACATCTTTATTTATTTATTTTTTAACCCTAAGTCTTTTTTGTGACTCTCTGCACAGCTGTAGGCTTTGGGGCCAAAGGCTGATTCCAGAAACATTTAGGCATTGAAGAAACTGTGGGTTGGGAAAGGTGATGGGATGAAGGTGTAAACCTTTTGCAATAAATGGTTTAAGTCACCGGAACACCAAACAGCAGAAAAGAGCTTGCCCCACCCATAGTGTTGTGAACATGGAGTATTCTCTTTCCTGTTCTGTTCCACGCAACTGCATAAACACTAGGGCAGAGATAGTTCTGATGCATCCTTTGAGTCTGTCACAGCTACACGCCACGTAAAATGAAGCCACAGAAGAATGGAAGACCCCATCCCTCACCCCGCCTTGTCCTTCTTCCATATTGTTGAGTGGAGCTCGATTTACCCCGGAAAGGATCTCCCTTACTGCTTTTATGTTTGTATTCCCGTTGGCCATCTCATGCAGCACAGTGTGAGGGGTTCAGGGGTACTCTTCCTGACCCAGCCCCTTCTCTCGGCCTAGACCACACCCCCTTTTTTGGCCACACGCCAAAAAAAAATGGTGCCCATATTTGGGGACATTCATTCCTCGATCATAAAACCAAAGAGCCCTCATTTCTCTGCAGACACACCATCAGCCTTTTAGGGTAGAGAGGCCCACTTAAGGGGGGTTTAGAATTTCTTTTCTTTAAATATGAATGCAGTAACATGAAAAGAAATGGAAGAAAGTTATTCATTTTCCTATCTCACTCACACACACCCTGTTTAATGTCTTTGTATTTGCTTCTTGTTTTAATCGTCACATGAAGCTGGCTGGGTTTCATGCAGAGGGGCTGTCTACACCCCAGATTTCTACTTTTCACGGAAGTCACCGTGGTTAGTGACTTAGAGCTAGAACAGACCTTAGGACTGACAGCTTGGTGCTGTGTTTTACTGGCCAGAGTTACACATCTGATGAGTGACGAGTCAGGATCCGTCAAGGGATCTCTTGACTCCCAGTCCAGTGCTCCTTCTGTAATCATGCAGCCTAAGGAGAAAACATTTTCTTTCAAAATTCAGCATGTTTTCAATTTCAGGTTATTTTGTTTAAAATGCTTCGGTATTACTAGAATAGTAAAATCACTGCAGTTTCACCCTTCCTCCCTAAGAATGTCTTGGAATAGATTGGAAGTCTTTTTTATTTTTTTATGACTTTTTTTTTTTTTTAAATTTCAGCATATTACGGGGGTACAAATGTTAAGGTTACGTATATTGCCCTTGCCCCTTCCACCCTTGGGTCAGAGTTTCAAGTGTGTCATTATGTTTGTATATACCCATCCCCTCCACCCCCTCCCACCTGCCCGATACCCTCTAAATGTTATTCCTATATGTCCACTTAGGTGTTGATCAGTGAAACCAATTTGCTGGAGAGTACATGTGGTGCTTATTTTTCCATTCCTTGGATACTTCACTTAGTAGAATGGGTTCCAGCTCTATCCAGGAAAATACAAGAGGTGCTATATCACCGTTTGTTTAGCTGAATAGTACTCCATGGTATACATATACCACGCTTTATTAATCCACTCATGTATTGATGGGCACTAGATTGGAAGTCTTTACAAAGAAATTTAATTTCTGTTTTCTTAGGAGAGTAGCATGTGTATATTCTTTGTGGGTCATGTCACGAGACTGCAAATACCAGATTGCTGGAGCTGTCCAACGTTGGCTTACTGGGATGGGGGCACCCTAAAATAATGAGGGCGACTGTTGCTCACTTATGGTGAATCACCATGAGAACATTTAGAAGCTTCTTTCTGTTTGGGTGGTTTTCTGAGTCACATAATATTCTTTCTTTATGCAGGCTTATTCAACGTGATATATTTGAAACCATTTTAAAGCTATTTAATATAAAATAAAATTCCAGATTAATTTTTCTTTCTTTAGATTAATGCCAGACCCATAACAGATTTTCAGAAAATACTTGTTGATTGAATGATAGAACAAATATATAGAACATTGCAATGCCTGCTTAGGAGTATAATGAGATTTAAAAGGCAATCCAACGTTATGCTGTTCCATAATGTTGTTAGAATGCCCATCTGTTAATTGTTCAATCTAATTTGAGTAAGGATAAGAGTCACATATTTGCTTGAAATCAACATAGATACGAATAAATGTCACATGAAATTCATCTATGTTCATGCTGTTTATAGAAGCAATAAACACAAAATGAGATTGGGTGTTGTTTAATTACATTTTTTGGAAACCTCGACTACAATACAGAGGCTCTCTGATTATATCCTTGATGAGCAATAATCAGTTTCTACTGTCCAGTGAGGCCATCTTTTCACTGAAGACATTAAACTATAGTGATATATTGGGAGAAATTAGTTCTGGTAGCTTTGAGTGGTTTCAACAAGAATAATTGGAACACTGTTCTAAACAGCTTGCACTCTCTAGCTCAGAAACAAATGGCTGTATGTGTGACATTTCTAAATGGTGACATCTTCGAGGAACCCTCCAAATGGATTATTTTATTTTAAGCTTCAGGTTATGGAGGTGGGGAAAACACCAGGAAGGGGATAGTAGATATTAATGTTCTTAATGTGGACAGACAGAAAGACCAAGTGAAGATACCATTTATTTTAACTAGATGTAACTAAGAGGAAATGCAAAAACAGAATGCAATACAAGTTCAGTAGAAGCTCATACAGGCTCAGTACAGTGACTAATGGCTTATACTCATTTTGTAAATTTCGCTCTTTAAGGTCTTGGGTGCCTTTGCCATTCCATTTAGGTAGCAAGCACAAGCAAGTATCTCATGTAGTAAACAAAACAACAGATTTAAGTTAATGCTAATGTGTTCACAGCCAGAGCCAAGAGCTTTTCAGGGTTATTATAACATGCTGGGCTCTTAGCCCATCCATCTAAATGTCCAAAGTAGACTAAAGTTACAGATCAGCCCATTGTATATGCCATCCCACATGAAAGCCAGATGCTACTGTTTACCGGGCTGGTGACTTAGCCAGATTCAATGTGAAATCTGAGACTACTGTTTGGGGTCCATGGAAGTTATAGATGGATTTTTCTAATCATGGATTTAGCCTCCTATACTACAATCTATTTTGATTAATGCTGATTTTTTTTTTTTTAGAACAATCTCTTAGATCTAATTTATACCCAACTGTCTAAACTGTTTAGGTGGAGGGCTTCCTTATGAAAACTGTGTTTATTTATTGTCTTTTGGACCTTGGATGAGATGTAGGTCTTCAGCATATTTTTGTCCTTTGTCTTGAGCATGGAAAAGAAGCCACAAAAATCTACTGCACAACAACCACACTTGGAAAGGTAGCTACAATGCAGCCTTTGAGATGATTTGGTAGAAAAACAGTTCTGTGTATTTTGATTTAGAAAAAGTCTATCCTCTATCCTGAGTTGAAAAGACAATTCTATCATTCGAGACCCCACATTGGGTTTTGTCGACACTGTTAGCTTTCTTATCTCTTAATCCTATCCCATTTGGGTTGTGCCCTTTACATGAAATTAAACTGATTTTTGAGGAAGTATCATAAATAGTGGTAGCAATAATAATAATAACAAAAACAACAATAGCAACTCCTATAGGGGAGGAAAGATTTCTTTTCCTCACCCATTGCTAGATTTAGGGATGAGGCAGCTATAAAAAAAGACAGACAAATATGGTTATTAGTAGATAGATAGAATGGACAATATCTGATAGCATGACAAAGTGACTATAATCAACAATAAATTAGGGTATGCTTTAAAATAACTGAAAGAGTGGAACTGAAGTGTTCCTAACACAAAGAAATGATAAATGCCCGAGGTGATGGATACCCCAATGATCCTGATTTGATCAATTCATATCGCATACCTGTATCAAAACATCTCACGTACCCTATAAAGATATACTGTGATTATGTACCCATAATAATTTTTTAAAAAAGACAGATTAACCAAAGAAAAGCATAAACCAAACATATTTAATGTAAGTTTTACATGACATGGGAGTCTTCAGAAATGATGACCCAGAGA